TTTCTCTCTTGTTGACCTGTCTTGTTCAAGGAGTGTCAGCTGTGACCTTTATGAAAGAAAAGGACTCCCATCTTTCCACCTGATGCTAGTCAATGATCATTCTGAGCCCATTCCATTGTAATTGAATAACTGGTCTTAGAAGCAAACTCACCTGCACTGGGACCTTCAACAGCACCTATGTTTTGTCCAACATGGACAAGGCTTCTAAGAGTTGCTTAGGTATTCTTACTTCCTTTCCCTCTCCCCAAGCAAGAAAGACATAGGGAAATGGTGAAGAGCAAACTAGCAAGCTGGACAGGTACACAGGCAGAGCAAGCACATACTGAAGTGTTTTCCCCCAGAATAAGCCCAACCTGATCAAAAACTTTTATCAACATCTTTTAAGAGTTTTCTTATCGTCAAGGTAAGACTTCAAAGTATGTAACAGGGTCAGTTTGATCTGTACATATGAAAATGAAACTTTGTCTTCTCTGTCTGAATAATAATGAACAGAAACTTTGCCAATTCTAGGTACTATCCCTCTGATATAAAACTATACAGAGCCAGAGGTACATAGCTCAGGGGGAGAGTACTTAGCAGCATGCACAAGTTTCTGTGTTCAATGCCCAGCACCAGAGAGAGACAGAGGAGAGAGACAGAAAAGAGGGAGGCCCTTCAAACAATATCACTTTATATACAAAGTAATTCCTAAATTATTTATCTTTAACTACTTTTCCTTTCTCTCCCCCTCTACTCCCCACCCAGTCAAGACCTACCCTATGGTGCACAGGATTTCACATCTTTTTTCTCTATGTTCTCTTTCTTAATGATCTTCACACATTTTTAATGAAATCAGCTTTTCAAACTTTCAACAGCTGAAAAATGCTTCAACTGATCACATTGTGCCATCTGGTGGGAATTCATTCTTTTCCAGGCAGAAGCAAACGAGAGAATTTTTCTGGCCTGTGTTTTCCTGGTTCTGTTCCTATGTTTGGCCTAATCACAAGGATACTCTGAGAAATTTTACAACCAAGCATCTGAGGCCAATCGCCGTGCCATCTATGGACCTTGTCAATTCACTGTTTCTCCAAAAGAAATTCTTTCATCTGCTCTGTAATCTTTCTAAATTAAATAAAACCTAAACCAAACTTTTATTTGGTCTCATGAACATGTATCAAATGAATGTATTATTCTTAAATCTTCCCTTTTTATCCAAAATAAGTTTGTGTTTTAAGTAAATACTATAATAGTTTTGACATAGGAGAAATATGACTCCAACTTAGTAGATGTTAATGTGCCTCCATGGTCCCACACCATGAAGGAATGAAGGTGGAAAGGAAAGAAAGAAGTTAGGAGAGTTTTACTGGAAATAAGGTGGGAAGAACAGCTCCCGGATTTCTAGACAGTGCCCTGAGTGGCGTGGCTACTGAGGCCCTTTGTCGGGGGTAGTTCATACAAAAAAGTCACCATGTGGGTACATTGTAGGTCTACCTACAATCAACCAATAGGATTACAAACACTGGCACTTAGCTAATATTGACCTAGTAGGGAAACGAGTCACACAGCAAGGGTGCATGGAAAGACAAAAGCATTTTTGGGATGGGGCGGGTACAGATGCTCTAGTTACCCACCTGGGTGACTGATGTCTGCGTGGATTTACTGGACCCGGAGGTGCTTATTTGAGCATAATCGCAAGTTACTTCTTTCCCTTGGGGAGGCTTTCACACCTGGCCATTGCATCTTCATCCTGAGGCCTGGCCTTCCTCAGACGTGCCCCGACCACAACTCTGATGCCTTCATTTTTGTGCAGACTTCCTTGAGACCCCAATCCTCCTCTGTCTGTTAATTTCTATTCAATTTAGCTATACATAATAGTTTTACAAAACCATTCACAAGTAGTATTTTCTTCTAGTGTGGCTTGCTAGGGTACTTAACCATGCCATCTGAGCAGCATGCCAGTTAGGACTGTCTAATTACTTATTTTTACAGGATGCAGTCTCACAGACTCTCATTGATAGGATGTTCATTTCTTTACTACACATTATTCCTGTATCTATCAATGAATAATTCATCATACATCAAAATTCAAGTGATTTGAATTAATATTTCATTCATTATATTAATTATACCCTCTATACTAAACTATTGGTTGAGTAATATTAGTATTTTTCCTCAAGGCTAAGACAAAATACTTGACACCCTAAGTTAAAAGGGGAAAGGATTATTTAGCTCACAGAATGTGAAGGTTTCAGTCCAAAATCAATGGGGTTCAAGGCAGGGTGGCTTGGCAGAAGGGCATCACAGAGGAGAAATACTTCATGGCAACAGAAGACAGCAAAAGCAAAAAGAGACCGGGGAGATAAGCATCTTTATGTCCCTTATATTGTATCTGGTCTGCCAGGATTAGAGCAGTGCCAGCCCAATCAGTGAACTGATCAGCAATCACCCACCCTTAATCCCACCACCTTTAATCCCAGCATTGCACAATGAATCGACCACATATACAAGATTCAGCCACCTCTAGGAAAAAAAAAAAAAATCCTAAGACAGCATGAGGTTTTGGGAGGACATCTAGACACAAACCATAACAGATGGCTTTTTTTGGGGGGACAGAATCTTACTACAGTGTACTACCCAGGCTGCCACGGAGCTTCTGGGCTCAAGTGACCTTCCTGCTGCAGCCTCTCAACCAGCTAGTACTATAGGTGCAGAGCCACCATCCATCCCCAGATCAAGGATGCATTTCTATTCAGAATAATTTCTCTTGGCTTTTTTCCTCGTTTCAGGTTGGAATCCCCCACAAGGAGTCTCAGCATGGACGCGCCAAGGGGCATTCATATCAATGCTCGTGCTGGTAAAATTGAGGCCCTTTCTCAAATGGACATCATGTTTCAGAGCAGTGACGGAATGGTGAGTCTAGCAGACCCAATGCTGTTGTGTGTCCTGCGGGCCTTGCTGAGGCTCACACGTACCAAGGCATCAGCACGTGAAGAGTCTGGTAGTTTGTGTGAAGCACTGTCAAGGGCATAGAATAGAAAACACTGGAAGGACAGGAAAAGACATGGTAGCCTCAGAAAATGGCTAAGGAATATTGAAGTTATTCTATTTTAGATCTGCACAGCTTTCTTCAATATTTGAGTAATCAAGACACTTGTTATTTTCAACTTTGAAAAACACTACAGACTTTCAGATCTTACCGAGAACATCCATTTTGCCATTTCCTAATGATCCAAATTCTGTCTGGATAGCTGTCCATAGGAGTTATCTGAAAATGACACCCATCCTCTGTCACTGCCCGGAGTGCTGTGTAAAATGCCTTAAAGCTGAAGTAAATAAAAATGAAAGATGAAAAATAACAGCAGTGGGGCTGGGGAGATAGCTCAGTGATCTAAGTGCCTGCCTGGCAAGTGCAGGGACACAGGTTTGATTTCTGGTACTGCATGGCATGCCAGCCCCAGAATGGGTGTTGTGTAGATCACGGAAACTGGGCGTGGTAGTGCATGCCTGTAATCCCAGCACTGGGGAGGCTGAGATAGGAGGATCACTATGAGTCCAAGTTGCATAGTGAAACCCTGTACCAAATAAATAAATACATAAATATTTTTAAAAAGAAAAATAACAGCATTTTTGAAACTCAAGTAGAATAAGGATAAAATCTAAAAATCCAAACAGAGAAATAAAGTATAACACACACAAATCAGAGTTATCACAAGACAATGGACTATAAGCTCAGAGTCAATTGTTGAAACCTTATTTATTAAAAAAAGAAGCTCAGTTTCATCCTCCCAGAAAACAAGGCATTTGAGGATATTCCTCAAATGTTTGGCCCAAAACTGATTCTAATCATATGATGCCATATCCCAGATTTGCACAAAAAAACTGATTTCATCTCAGCCTGGTCCTCAATATTTTCATTTACAAGAATGTATTCAAAATAAGCATTGCTCCTTGCCTTTTCTGTTAAGGAGCTCCAGTTTAACAATTTGCCATAAGTGGCTGGGGTTGTACCTGTTGATACCTCCAGTGCCAGCCACGTGGATCGAAGTAAATATCTGTGTATACTGTTGGCACAGTGAGTGGCACAGGGTGCCCCACTCCTGGCCAGCCCTGCCCTCATCACACAGGTGGCAGTGCACAGACTCTGCCCAAAAAGCACAGTGCAGCAGGCGGAGGACTCACCAGAGTGAGAAAGCCCAGGATCTATTGCTGGACATATTCCCTCAACACCTGTTTGACTTCTAGATTACAGGCTGTCTCCTCTTCACTTGAGAACCTACATGTTCATTCAGGCCAGAGGGTCCTCAGACACTAACGTGATGTTTTGAACCAACATTAACATTAATAGGAAGGGTCAAATGCATGCAGACATGGTATCTTCCTAGAGCAGGCCAAGAGTGGCCACTCCAGGTATGAGGGTGGGACCTGGCATGGCAGCCTGCAGGAGGGAGATAAGAAGCACCTGGAGAGGGTGGTGCAGGCTGGGATGCATAGGTGATTGTAGGTGTAGGTAAGGAGCAGGTAAGGGCAGAAATAGAAATCAGGAATTTTGATTTCTGACATGACCAGTAAGTCATGTCACTAAATGTTTCAAATGTATAACCTTCAGTAAACCTAAACTGATCTTAATTTTGAAAAGATACAACCAATTTCCATGAGTTAGCTATCATTTTTACAAGTAGTACATAGCCAGTCCCACACGTAGAGCTGATGTAGTAACAATAACTAGGAGTTAAGAATTCACAGTGAAGAGGCAGATGCCCGGCGTGTCACCGAACATTGTTCCATTGTTACAGCTTGTGTCTAGAAGAACCCTAAAAGTTCATGCAGCCATGGTGAGGCTTTTCAGTGGTAGCTGGATCTAGGGGATGTGATGCTGGGATCAGGGATTCCATGCCAGGATTAAGGGTGTGTGTGATGCCCACCCTAAAGGGAGGTAGCCTGGATAAGATATAAGGGACAGAAAGAGGCTTGTCTCTGGTAGCTTGCAGCCATGGTGCCATGTGCCTTCTATCTGCCCTGTTTTGCATGAACTGTCTCTCCCCTGTAATGCCATCTACCATGCCGCCCTGGCTTGGAGCCAACTGATTATGAACAAACTAGGGGCCAAGTAAACTCCTTCTTTGAGTGTTGGGTAGTTTTGTCTCACCCATAAATGCAGGTGAACATGAACAAGACAGTAATGTGGGCTGCCAATGGCTACAGCTTCCTGGGAACATAGGGGGGAAATGATAACTGGGAAACAATAACCCTTTTACTACAAGAAAGGGGATGGGGAGAGCCAGCATGTGAAGAGCCTGCTAGAGAAAGCAGATGCACCAAGAACCCCAGCTTTGGGAAGTAACCTAAAGAAAGGCTGTGTTTTAAACGCTGATGTCCACTTGATTTCCCCTGCTCCAACAGTGTGCCAGAGTGCAGACTCTGCCTGACATGCTGCTAGCAGAGCCCTACTGCACCTGGAGGGTGCCACCTCAGAGCAGCGAAGGGCAGATACCTATCCTTCAGTAGACTGGAGCTCACGGGTGAGAGCTACGTAAAATAAAGGAAAACTCACTGTCTTAGCAAGGCAGGAAATCATCCCTACCCACAACACACTTCAATTCCTTCTAACAAGCAAACACCCTGGGATGGCTCCTAGGATTGGTGCGAGTTATTTGCTTATCAAAGAGGTTTCCCAGCCTTCATCAATGGCTATTTGTGTGCATTTCAGTACAACTAAATTATATGACCTGAAAATTGCTAGTCACTTTCATTGTGTAGTATTTGAACTGGCTCTAGTCTGTGTCTGTTCCACCCAAGAGAATGCAGCAGAGACCTAAGCAATATTTAAAAGCTAGGGATACAGGTGACAGCCAATAAGGTGAATTTAATTGCCTCTCACAGGAAAACAAAAACATGAATAAAAGCAGACTACGTTCTAAAATCCACAGGGACAAATTTCTATTAAGATAAATTTATTGCTGTGGACTGTATGTTGCCCTAATGGGGAGATGATTTAGTATAAAGTCAAAATATATCACAAGATAAATGTGAATCAGCAAAATTGTTATTTAAAAAAATTCCAAAAGGCACTTTAGAAGTATAGCATCATAAAACTGAGAAGCAATCCAGCTTATTGAACACAACTGGCCAATTTTCTCAGCTGGACCAGCTCAGTGGGTAAGACAGTGGCCTCCCTTCAGTTTGGAGGAGGAACTGCCAAGCCTCTGTCTACATGCTAAACGGGCTTTCAAAGAGCCAGGTAATTCTGAAATGACTGAGGTCAGATGCCCCCTTCACTTGCTATAAAAAGAAACTAATTTTCATGAAACATTTTCAGGATACAAATTTTCTGCTGACCCATTTCATGCCTTCTTTACATCTCCTCTCACTTTCCCCCAAAACAGCTTGTGCTGGACGCTGAATCCGTGTGTTTGCCCACGTTGGTGCAGGGGACCCAAGGTCGCTCTGGCAGCCTGCGGGGCCTCTATGAAGTCTGTGCGTGTCCAGATGGGAAGCTGTACCTCTCTACGGCAGGCGTGGGCACCACATGTCAGGAGCACAGTCAGGTCTGTCTCTGAACTGCTGCCTGTCGGGAGACCACCTGCTTCCTTCCTTTTCAGGAGCTGAGACCTGCAGCCTAGAGCCTTCACACCTAGGGGTCCCAGGTACCCACTGAGACTGCACAAAGGAGGACTCATTTTCCAAAGGAATCCCCAAAGAAAAGTATGGCTGAGGGGGTGCTGATGTTAAGACACAAAAATTGAAGAAATGTCAAGAGTGTGTATATTTCACTGGATTCTGATTACTGTTCATCAGAACTTTGCGACTTTTTCTCCACTCCCTCCCCTTTCCTATATGCCAGCTACCACTGGACTGCTGACCTGCATGCGGAATTAACTTATGATGCTCATCAATGGATCTATACCTCACAAAGTGGGGCCAGTCAGTGCCAACACACCTAGATGCCCAACCTCGGTGGAAGAGAGTGTCAGACTTCACAAGAAAAATTTGCAGATTTTCAAGACAATTTAAGGCTCATCTGATTTTTAATATGTAAAGGAAATAAATTACACAAAATGAGTCTTATGCAATAAAAATCAAACTACATTTTTCAGAGAATTCAGTTTAAGAGTCTTTCTTTAATTCTCACAACTCTTACATAGTATTTTCCCTCAATTTACGCATGACAGACTTCACAGGTAACTGCTGAAGCTCACCAAAATTGTGACCTTAAATTTGCATAGCTGCTTTCACTTGGAAAAACTGATGTCTCATCCCACCTCTGACAACAAAATACATGAGAATTATATAGCTGGGATAGAGTTAAGCTGACAAATGAAGACAATGAAACCCAAAGGGGCATTTTCATCTGCTACAACCAGACAGCTGGCGAGTGGGAGGACTAACACCTGGTCCGGCCAGGTGCTCCTCTTCAGAGCAGAGCCTGAGTGCAGCCATGCAGAAGCAGACTCCTACTGTGTGCCCAAACAGGGTCAGTGCAATTGGAGGGAAATGGACATAGGCCACACAGGACACATCACTTGCAAAGACAGCTTCATGTCATGTAGGCCACTCATTTGGTAAAATGTCCCCCATCCCCAAAGTGGTGGGTTTGCTTGTTTTGTTATAACCAGTTCCTACAATCCCCCAGAAGCTAAAGACATAAAGACCAATAGCATTTCAACTTTCTAATACAGGTTCAAATTTATTTTCTGGTCTCAGAATCGAGTAATTAGCAAAGTAACCTTTAGTTCTAGTGCTGCTCTCATGAGGTATTCATTTAACAGTTTAACCCCTTGTAACTCTTGAGTTTTAAGCTGCAATTATACAACTTATGAAATTACCAGATAAAAACACAGAGTAAATTGTGTTTACTACTGTGTAAATGGACATAGACCAAACTTGCAAAGACAGATTCATGTCATGTAGGCCTGCTTGTTAAGCAGCTTAGAGTAAACTCACCTCTAACTGTAAATGTTCCTACAGTTTCACAGGGTTTGGGTGCTTTAAAATATAAATTGGTATCCACTGTTTCCATTTAGTTAAGTCCTGAATTTTAAAATAAGTAACTTTCCTACTGCCATATGCCTACTGCACTACTAAACCATTCTGTCTTCTCCTATTGTCTCCTGTGCCACATCTGTGCGAAAGAAGCATCTCCAAGTTTGTTTTAACACAACATCACTGAACATTTACAAATTAATTTGGTTTTTAAAAAAAATGGTGCTCAGATAATGAGGTCAAGAAAAAAATCAAGGAGAAAAGTGTGAAGAATATAAAGAACATTTTGAATAAAATGTAGGTTTTTTTTTTCTTTTTGTGGAGTCATTGTGAAAGAAAGTTGTGGATCACTACATTCTCCAAATAAGGAATTGATCCTTCATTAGAATAAAAGCACTGGATAAGCTGTATCCTAAAGTTACACATGAAATAATTTTTACTGAAGCTCCAAAATCATGAGAATGAACTTACCTAATGAGGAACACAGATGACTACTTTGACTAAATGGTCACAATGAGGAGTGTTGATACTTTAAAGATTAAAAAACAGCACTTGCTTCTTTTCAAATTTATGAACCCCCTGAGAAGACATGAGACAAAAAGATGAAGATGTGTAAATTTTAATAGTGAAGATATGTGAATCTGTAGCAAGTGGAGGTCCTTATGCTTCACAGCTGCACACAGCATGACTTCTGGGCTGACAGGCAGGACTATAGACTCCTACATGGAGGGCAGGGATGGACACACCCTGTCCTGAAGGCCACCATCTTCCCATTAGAAGGTAGAGCCACCTTTGTGGAGTCTTTCCCCCAAGTTCCCCTTCCAAGAAGTCCTTCTCTGAGGAACAGCAAATGAGGGTGGAAAATTTCTGAAAAGGCAAAACGTTTGACACTGAAAGTTTTATGTTGCATCAATTTTATGTATTTTTTGTCCCTAAACAGCTCATTTTATTTGGCTTTGGCAGTCTTCTCCATATCTAAAATTGCATGTCACTGTTGCTGCACTACAGAAGTCAGATACACTTTCCATCAAATATAAATGAGACTGTCAGGCACTGCTAACAAAAAAAAATGTTTGTAACGAGGTATACGGTGTGACAAGAGTTCTTAGAAATGGTTCTGTCCTCACGGCAGGCAGGGTCTTTCCTAAACTCTAACTACACATATATTTTAATCAGTTTTTACTCTTAAAAATGTAACTTGGCTTTAGACTCTAAGTGGAACAATCTACACTGTGAGCAGGCAAATCACATCAGACTGTGGCTTGGTGGAAACCCACAGCCAGGATGGAACGTGTTTGCCGTGTCCCCACAGCCAAGTGTGATGATACTACTTTGTCAGATCCTTGAAAATGAGGCAAGTGAGGGGAACACTAGAAAGCAGCATTGTAAGGAATTCTACCTGCAGACTTTAGCTCCCATCAAGTATTTCCTGCCTAAAGGCCTGTGTAGATTTGGTACTTGCCAGCCCTTACCCTCCAAAATTATGAGGCAATAATTCCCAGCATAAAAAGTCCTGTGTGTGTGTGATTCTGTTCCCTTAATAGAACCTCCATGGACATGTGGCTAAGATCTAGGACTACTATTTTCTATGCATTACAGACTATAGATGTTATTTTTCAGATCAGGTGTCAACTTGCACTCCTGGAAGAAGCAGATCCCATTCACACTCAGAACAGATCTGTGAAAAATTTCCTATTATCTTGTTGAACATTAATACAGTACTTTGCCCAAATCATTGATTTGGCAGCACTTCCTCCTTTTTGCCTGCACCTCTGCTTTATTACCTAAGAACACCGTAAAGTTTGCACCCATTTCTAGGCCATCTCACTGGAGACACCTGTCGCCACCCTGGGAGGGAGGACATTGCCCCACTGTCTTCTCAAGTGTGTAACTCCAATGCTCCTGCTCCAGCCACCCAACTTCCATAGTCTTTTTTTTTTTTTTTTTTTTTTAATGCAATTAGTACAGGGTCTCACTACACAGCTTAGACTTGAAGCGATCCTGTTTTCAGCCTCCCAGCACCAGGATTACAGGGGTGCACCACCAAGCCCAGACTCAGTCACCAGCTCAGCATGTCCAGGGGCGGGGCTGGCACGGCATGTGGTACTGGGGACAGAACCCTGGCCCCCATACTTGCGTAAGCAGGCACTTAGTCCACTGAGCTATTTCACCAGCCCTCCGCTATTTCTTAAAAAAAAAAAAATGAAAAAGATGAGGAAAATGTAAAATAAAATAAGTTAGCTCCCAGTAAAAATTCCTTACTCTCTTTTTCAATCTAAAAATACACAAAACAATAAAAATTTCAAGTATATCGGCAGCAAATTAGTGGGGACAAAACCTGATCTGAATTTCTGTGAGGAGTATAGATGCTCAAGATTTACTGCAGAAATATTAGTGTGTTTACAGGGTGCTGCTCAAATCTTGTGACAGTGTTCCATTAAAAATTGATATACCTTCATATTAACTTTCTAAAACCCAAAAACACATTTGAATCCAAGTGTTCACAGAAGGGATTATGAACTTGTGTTTTTAAAGAGTTTCAAAAAATAAATTCAATTAAACTATTACCGAAGCAAGACAAGGCTTTTTTCATAAATTCAAACAGTAATAAACAAATTGTAAGTGCTGAATATGATATTCAAAGTAGCAAGCACTTTTTATTATTCTTTTGGTGTTTGAAATAGTGTCTCATCACATTGTTCTGGCTGGTTGTGGATTCCTGGCAATCTTCCTGCCTCAGTCACCCTCCTCCCCAGTGCTGGGATTACAGGTATGTTCCACCAGCCCTGGCTGCACTTAAATAAAGCTGAAATCCCAGAAATTTGGGTAGCCCGAGAACTGAAACTCTAAGCCCTTGTCTGCCTAACTTCGAAGAGTTGTATCCTAGGTATAAAGACGACTATTTTTTATCAGTTGAGGCTGAAGTGTGAATTAGCCTCAAATATTCAAGCTATCCCTTTAGGCAAAAAAAAATGCAATTCCTGATATTTCCAACAAACACACACATACCAGTACCTGCACATGAAAAATAAACATTGGAGGAAATTAAGTTTAATTTCCAATGACCTATTCCTCAGGAAATTCCAGTTACAACCATTTCATATATACATTTTGCTTTATTAAAATTATGGCACTTAATATAACAGCAGAAATTATTACATGATTTCACATCCAAAAGCAACACAAGTGTGAAGTTGCAAACATTCCTTATTATCAATAAAAGTAAAAAAGTTTAACATGGTCTGTAAGCCCTTAATTGCATAAAGTATTATATTTAGCATCATTTACAGCCACTTACATAAACAAATTACTCTTTATTTTGATACTCTGCAAAAGAAACTCAGTAAGTGTGGCAGGACATTTGAACATGATGAAAATCAAATGTGACTTCTGAATCTTTTATAGAGAAAATGCAAGCTGATAGTTCCTCTCTCATAAATGACTGGAAATTACCCTGATGATTTCAATAACTTTTAATGTTTTTAAAGTAAAATCCAAAAAGAGTCCACTAAGTGCCATTATTGAAAGTTTTGTTTTGTTTTAATGACAGCACCTTTAGATGCAAAAGATTGTTTCCTGTTCAACCACACTATATAAATTAGGACAACTGTGGAAAATAGGTACACACAAACATAAAGCAAATGTTCTAACCACTGATAAATGTCTTTTGGTAAGCAGTCTGTATAAACAATATTAACATCTGGTAAGGAGAACTGCCATTATTTTGTTTTCCATGT